CACCACATAAAAATAAAAAACAAATAAAATAAAGGCATTATGTCTGTCTACAACTACAAAATTAAAAAATAGGGATGTAACTCAGTGGTAGAGCACCCCTGAGTTCAATCCCTTGTATGGGGGGTGGGGGAAGCATAGGCCTGAGTAATTTGTAGAGGTGGGGACCCAGGAAGTTCTTCACAGATCCCTTCAACAGCAGTGGATTTGGGGGCCAGCAGTCAGAAGGAAGATGTTTAAAGAGAACGAGACAATTCCTTCTATGATTTTGAACCATTTCTTTGCTGAAGCTCCAAAAATCTCCCCATGATCCCTCTCCTTTTCTTCTTAAAATAATTGCCTTCATTTCTTTCAAGACTCTGAGAGACACTTGAGCAGACAAATGTGCCTGGAAGGACTTACTTTAATTTGTCAGTCTTTCACGTCATGAGTGGCAGTGCGCTCCTAGCAGGAAGACCCAGCCCAGCTGGAACAGCACTGAAAGAATGTGCCTCATTCCTTCCTAGATGGATACAACAGCTTGCTGAGCAGCTGGGCTGGGCTCTGTCTGTTTCCCGGTTTGAACTCATCTCTATAGAGACTGAGAGGAAGCTGGCCACGGCCCTGTGTGTCTGGTCCATGATGCAAAGTCTTTCTTCCCACAGATTGTGTTGTATCGTGAGCAGGAAGTTCTGGACTGTGACTGTGACATGGCCTCGGTCCACCATTTGTTGTCCCAGATCCCTCAGGACCTGCCCTATGAGACACTGATCAGCAGAGCAGGGGACCTCTTTGTTCAGTTTCCCCCTTCTGAACTCGCACGGGAGGCTGCTGCCCAGCAGCAGGCTGAGAGGTGAGCAGAGCGAGGCACTAGTAGAGTTGGGGCAGCTGTAAAGGGCAGAGGCAGGGGAGACTGTGGGGTGAGGACAGGGCAGGACAGTGGCCAGAGCCATTCTAGCCGAATCCCTTAGACTTCTCGGGTCTTTATCCAAAAGAACTTTCTGGCTCTACCACTCGTCTTCCTCTTCCTTCATACCAGTCCTTATTTCTGCCTCCTTCCTCTGCAGAACCGCAGCCTCTACCTTCAAAGACTTTGAGCTGGCATCAGCCCAACAGAGGCCGGATATGGTGCTGCGGCAGCGGTTTCGAGGACTTCTGCGACCTGAGACTCGAACAAAAGATGTTCTGACCAAACCAAGGACCAACCGCTTTGTGAAACTGGCAGTGATGGGGCTGACGGTGGCCCTGGGAGCAGCTGCTCTAGCAGTGGTGAAAAGTGCCCTGGAATGGGCCCCCAAGTTCCAGCTGCAGCTCTTCCCCTGAAGCCCAAGCCACTTCCTCTCACAGTGAACCCGGTCTCGCCCTTTCCCAGAAGGACTGAGAAGATGGAATTTCCTTGATTAAAAGGGTTTCGGTCGAGGGTGTTCTGTTCCTGCCACCCTCGCCTGCCACGTTTGCCATGGCTTTGGAGGCCAGTCACAGAGCAAGCCTGACCTGCGGTGTCTTCCACGGACCTGAGAGTGTCTCTGCCACCTCCCCTCATGTTGGTGGAAGTGGGTTCTTTTGTTCCCAGCCATCCTGAGAACCTCAGGGCCTGGGCTTCCCTGGCTACCGGGGGACGTCCTGGCTACCCAATAGAAAGTAAGCCAGACCCCAGAATGCCCTCCTTGCAGCTCCTGGGGTTCTGTCCACTTCAGATAGACGAGGAAGGAGGCCTGCTACTGAAGGAGTCGGGCCTTGGGTGAAAGTGAGGGACAGAGGACTCTCGTGTGGGAGCCCTTTTAAAAGCAGCTCCATTAGCTGGTCAGAAATCAGACACGAATGAGGTGACTAGTGAAATCCTACTTATTTTCAGCCTAGAAATCACGTGGGTACTTCCAGTCCAGCAGGAGAGAATATTACCTAGACTGGTTTGCCTGCCTTTTTATTTCTTCCTGTTCTCTTCTACAATCCACATGACATTACTTATAAAAGACACTTTTATTACTATTTTTAGAATTATATACTCCTAACATGTAAAGTACTTTCACTTTAAAAAGAACCGTTCCTTCATGGAAAAAAATAGTTCTCATCAGAAGGATGAGCTTGTACAACCCTGAAGTTTACTTTCTACTCAACTGCGTAACATTTCACTTCAGCCAGAGCTGCCATTTGTGGAGAGCCCCCCACTTCCAACCCACTTTGCTTCCTTCCTGTTCCCCACAGACCAGCCTTCCACTCCCAGCGAGGTGCCCACTCGCATCGTCTGGGCTTGATATAGCAGAGCCCCTGGTGTCTGCCTAGTGGGAAATGGTGGAAACTTGCTGGTACCAGAAAGGGACAAACTGTAATATGAAGAGCATGGCAGGGCCTAGAGCAGCCAGTCCCGCCCCAGGCTTCTCAGAGGCCCCCCAGGCCTTGGGAAGAAGGGGGGATCCCACGGTCCTCCTGGGCAGCTTTCTGTGAGTGAAGCCAGGTTTGTACATTAACTCGAGTTTGGGGGGGAAAAAGTGCCTTTTGCTGCTTTAAAAATTGGAGTGCATTGTGTGGAGCAGCTGTGTACTTTTATTTTCCTGGTCTCCCAGCTGGTGATTTCATTAAGTGAACCGGTCAGAAGCACTCCGCCCTCCTGCATGCCCACCATGTGCAGGGAGGGTGGTCAGCAGGCTTCCCGCCAGCATGCTGGAGAGTTCTGAGTTACACTGAGCACTTTAACCAAAACATCAAAGCATGGTGAGTCGTGCACAGCAGGAGGCACGTAGAGTGAATGTGCTGCAGATGGATTAATCTAGAAAGTGGTGGGATCATTAGGACAAATGAAAATTCTTCCAGGATCCAGAGGTGACAAGATGGCAAATATTCCATCTTCTCCTGTGCCAAGTTTGTCCTCTTGCCATCTTTACAAATGGCAACAGCTCTGTGCCTCTAGCCGAAGCACGCAAACCTATTTGTAAACCCAGCGATGGCAAGAGGTGGAGGAGCTGCTGGCGACCCAAGGCCACAACTCTGGATCTCAGGAAGCAAGCAATGTTTGCCTGTGCTGTGGCCTAAGAAGAAAGTGTGCACTGTAGCTTTGCTCACACCAGGATTCTCCCTAGCCACTGAGGAGAAAGCATTATCTATTTACCTTCAGGTGACTTATTTATTCTGTAAAGAATATGTGTAAATATTTTGTACAGAGAGCCCTGTATGAAATAAACAGCCATATGTGGTTACTAATTATGTCTGTCATTTGTCCAGACCCTCCTAGGCTACCCTTGAGCTACACCCCAGCCCTTTTTACTTTTGGGAACAAGACCTCAAAACTGTAGTTCTCCTGCCTCAGCCTCCATGCCTGACTCTTCGGCAGAATTTTGATAACTGCAGAGTTGAAGAAAGGGTGTGTGTGGTGTAAGTTATTTGGTCTTTGTGCAGGTTCCTGACCCAGGGTTCCTGCAACCCTTGGAATTGCCACGGAGTGGATGAGTCAGGAATGTCTGTCATTTTTAATAAACTCACCTTAGTTCATGCTAACCAGGTGACTTAAGTGAGACTCCTAAATGGCCTCATGACAGGGCTGGTCACTGGAAACACCTAGTGATTACACTGACCTAGGGGTTGGAGGGGGGAGATCTATGAAAAACCAAATGAGGTTCTGTGAGCTGCCTGGCCGGTGAGTACGTGGATATGCAGGGGTCGTGACAGCACATGACTGCAGGGACATGGAGACTCACCCCCCATCTTGTTCTGGTCACCTCCTCTAGCTGCAGGTCACTGAGTCCAGTGTTCCCTGTGAACATTAGTGAGCCCAAGGGGGAGAGGTCATGGAATTCCCAAATTCTGGCCAGGCAGAAGTGTGGGTCACTGGGCACCCCATCTGTGCTGGCATCTGAAGTGCAGGCAGTCTCTGGGCTGAGCCTTCTAACTGTGGGACCTGATGCGAACTCCAGAGAGCGGGAGAACTGGTTACTGGACACCCAGTTGACTTCAGAAAACCCCACCCAATGTGCAAGGCCAAGGAGGGAGTAGCCAGGGCACAACAAAGCTGACCATGAAGCCTGGGGGTTGTGGGGAGAGAGAAGCCCAGGCCTGGAGCTGGGTCTGTGGATCAGCTCTGCCTGATCCTCCCCCAGGGCTGGGGAGGCTGCTAGCCACCGCCAGCCAGAGTCAGTGACCTGCACCCACACCACACCGGCAAGCCAAGGTCACTTACCCACCCATGTTCTCTGGTGTCTGCTCACTGCCTGGGGTCACCTTTTGCTCTGGGCATCCAGACAGGGTGGCAGTGCCTATTCAAGGGCTGGAACAAACCTTTCCCCCAACATCCTCAGGCCCAGCATCTAAGCCTGGAGTCAGGCCCGGAGCAGCAGAGGCACCCCTGCCTGCCCTCGTGATCACATTTGTGGCAGAGACTCTGCTTTGGGCATTAATAACCAGCTCTCGATAGGGGATGGGTCACAGCTTGGAGGAGAATGCACAAAATGGACGTCCCCGGACCCTGCTTTATTAATATGACCAGCAGAGTGGGTACTAATGAATATCACTAGGTCAATACTTTGCCATCTTGCCTGAGACATTAAAATTAGGATGGACAAGCTGAGCACAGTGGCACACGCCCATCACCCCAGCCACTCAAGAAATTGAGGCAGGAGGATCACAAGTTCAGGGTCAGCCTCAGCAGCTAGAGATGAAGTTCAATGGCAAACTGCCCCTGGGCTAGAAGCCTCAGTACCAAAAAATAAATTTAGGATGGACAACCTCACCCCTCCAGCACAGCAGTCTTATCTGTTCTGAAATCTCTGCTCCCCACCGCGGCTCCCCACTGAGAGGTCAAGGGGGACCAGCAAGACTCCCCAGCCGGCCTCAGCCTCCCTCCCCCAAAGGTCCCCCATGGCCCACTGTGTCCTTGGGCACAGAGCTGCCAGCTCTGGTACAGGGTCCCAGCACTGAGTCACAGCCTCCTCTTACCACTGAAAAGGGCTGACAGATTACCTTCTTGATGTCATTCCCAGAGGTCTCAGGGACCCTGGCCCATGACACTCCCTCTCAAGGACAGGACACGCACCCTTCCTGGAAAAGCATTTTAATCTGCTCATGCAGGCAACAGAGGGAGATGGTGGCGGTCAGACCCGAGGGCGTGCTCTCAGCTGGCCTGGTCTCAGCAGCTCCGAACCTCCAACAGCAATGCGAGAGCAAATTCACCCCAGAAAGCCACCGTGGAGAGACGAGCTGTGGCTAGCTGGTGACCTGCAGGCGAGGAGTGGGGGTGCCGGTGGCTCACAGAGCCCCTTCCAGAAGGTCTGGGCTGCAGGGACGAGGCGAGGGATGGGCCGCAAGCCCACAGGAAGAGGATAAAGGCACTGGGCACAGGTGACCCAACAGCGGGCTCAGGTGGGCTTCTACACCACCTGTCGCAAACAGGCCATCCCCATAGGGCCTCTGCCTTGGCCAAAGCACAAAACAGTCTTTCAGCCCAGAAATCAGAGCCAAGTTCCGAGCCCAGCCCTGCCCACAACTGCCTCTGGATGTGGGGCTGGGTCAGCTGGAGCCCCGCCATTTTGGGTTCAGTGGCAGTTCTGACAGCTTGGGTGGCAAGGAATCCCGTTCACACGGCAGCGGCAGCCCCCGCTGGTGTCTCCGGGGCCCTAGAGGACAGAGGGAAGCGTCCTTGAACAGGGAGGAAGGACAGCCTGCCTGTGCTGCTCCCTCAGACCCACCTGAGCACACCTGCCACTCGGGCCCTTGTCCCCGCAGGTCCTCCTGAGCGGCCCTCCTGGCTAGGCCCCCTGGTAGAGGCGGTCATGCAGCTCCCCTATTACAAGAGTCGGGTCCGTCTGCCGCAGACCCAGGGCGGGAAAGGCTCGGACAGTACGGCACATCCGGGTGGGCAGCGCTGGTGCGAGAGCGGGCAGACCCCTCCATTTCGTCTGTGTCTCCTGTGTGCCACAGGAGCCCCAACTCCAGGAACACCCCAGTGAGGACAGCTGACTTCAGCAAAGAGCTCCCAGGGGACGCTCTACCTAGCAAATGCCTTTGTCATTTGATTCTCACAAGGCTCCACGGTTGTCCCAGGGGAGGAAGCTGAGCCTCAGAGAAGTGCCCAGTGTGTGGGGGGGGCCAGGGAGGAGACTCCTGACTGCACTTTCCCACTGTCCTCTGCAACAGGGAGGAAGAAGGTTCCTGTAAAGGCCCAATGTTGGGCACTGGCAGCCATACAGTTAGCCCCAGGGGCACCAAAGCAGCCAGAGACCGGAGGCCAGGACAAGAGTGTGGCTGGCCTCGGACAGAACTGTACTGAGGACACTGAAATCTGGATTTCATCTAATTTTCTGTTTTCTGCAGAGTGATCAGGGCTGAACCCAAGGTCTCACATATACTAGGCAAGCACCTACCACTGAGGTACACCCCCAGCCTAGATTTCATATCTTTTTCACCTGTCATGAAATACTGCGCGCTTTCAATACTGTTTACACCATTTAAAGCTGTAGCTGGGCTCAGTGGCACACGCCTATAACTCTAGTGACTCAGGAGGCTGAGGCAGGAGGATCCCAAGTTCAAGGCCAGACTCAGCAATTTAATGAGAGTTTTAGAACTTAGTGAGACCCTGTCTCACAATAAAAAATAAAAAGGGCTGAAGATGTAGCTGAGTGGTTAAGCACCCCTGGGTTTAATCCCCAGTACCAATAAATAAATATTTTTAAAATAAAAATAAATGGGCTAGGGTTGTAGCTCAGTGGTAGAGTGCTTGCCTCGAAAGCTTGCCTCGAAACCCTGGATTCGGTCCCCAGCACCACGTAAAAATAAAGAAATAAAAAAAGAATAATAAAGATATTGTGTCCATCTACAACTAAAAAATTTTTTTTAAATAAATAAATAAAAATAAATGATTAAAAAATAAAAATGTAAAAAGCTACTGTCATGTGTAACTAAATAGAACAAAATTTTTTAATTTTTTTTTTTAAAGTGTAAAAAGCAAGGTGCAGTCGCACATGCCTGTAATCCCAGCAATGCAGGAGGCTGAGGCGGGAGAATCATAAGTTCAAGGTCAGCCTCAGCAACTTAGTGAGACCCTCTCTAAACAAATAATAAGGGCTACAGATGTAGCTTCGTGGTAAAGAGCCCCAAGGTTCAAAACCGGGTACCAAAAAAATAAAAATGGGCTGGGTATGTGCTCAATGGTAGCGCACACCTGCCTGTGTTCAGTTAAAAAAAAAAAATGTTAAAAAATCCTCTCCTGGGCCGGGCTGGGGCTCGGTGGCAGAGCACTTGTCTAGCTTGGCACAGTCCCCAGACTATCGTTTTTCCAAGCCCCTCTCCCAGGCAAGCCCCACTCTCCCCACCCCACCCCCAAGCCTTCTGCTCCTTGGACAACTCACCCCAGGGCCCCACCGCGGGCCCTTGGTGACCCAGCAGATCTCGGTGTGGCAGACGGTGCAGCGGATCCAGTCGCACCCATCCTTCTTCTGCACTACAATATGGCACTGCGGGCAGTGCATGGCCTCGCCCTGCTGCAGCAGCACCTGGAGCAGAGGGTGAGTGGGCGGGGCCTGCCGCCTGCCCCGCCCACCCCTGGATGCTTCCAGAGCCCTCCCAGAACTTCTCTGGCCTCCTTTGTCACAGAGGTCCCCTGCCTCCACCCAGACCCTGCTCCTGCTGCTCACCACCTGACTCTGGGCCTAAGGCCCATCCCGGGATGGGAGTTGACAGAAGGGAGCTCTGCGCCTCCAGGGATCTGTGAACTCAGCTCTGAGAAGCCCTCAGAGCAGAAATCAGCCCGACCCTGGCTCACCCTCAGCATCTCTGTGGTCTGCCGGGCTGCCACGTCATTCTGAGCGCGCAAGGCCAAGTCGTCCTGATACTCCCTGCAGTTCATGCGCTCGTGGATGGCCTGCGGAGGTGGGGGGGGCCAGGAGACAGAGTTCCCGGGGCTTCAGACTGGAAGCACTACTTCGGCACAACCAGAGAAGGTCCCTTGGTCTCTGCTTGGTTCTGACCCCACTAGAGGTCCATTGCTTGGAGACCCAGTTTGCCAAGCCTGAGTCTGGGCCCAGGCTCTGCCTATCTGCCTGCTCATCACTTTAATGGGCAACTTTTGAAGGCATTGGGATGTGCCTGGGGAAGGATGGGGCAGGGTTGGGTGGGTCTCGGTGTCTGGCTTAGCATGGGAGCAGTTAAGTGTGCGGTGTAGAGCCTGAGCTGAGTTTGGGGCCAAGTTTGGGGCTCGCAAGGGTCAGGGCTCCATACGGGACCAGGATTCAGTCTGTGACTAGGGCCAAAGTTGAACTCAGCCCAGGACCAGGACGTGGTCCAGGATCAGGATCAGTACTGGGCTGTGCTGGGGCCAGTGCTGGGATTGGCCTCCCGGGTCAGGGCAGCGACATGCAGCTCCTCATCACAACTCCCAGACCAACATCGCCGCTCCCTCCCCATGGGAACAGGCGCTGATCTCTGATGCAGTGAGCCTCCCCAGGAGCAGGGGAGGAGGCAGCGTGGGACCACGCACCTTGCAGAGCAGGCAGTTGACGTGGAAACACACGGGGCAGGTGAACTCATTTACATCATCCTCAAAGAAGCACCAGCCCTTGCAGTCTGGGGTCTTGCAGTGGTAGCTGAAGGCGCTGCGGTTCTCGGCAATGGAGACGCTCAGGTCCAGAAACCGCTGGTAATCCTCGGGGCTCAGGAGCTGCCAACACACCATATCCTTGTGTTTGGGGTTCAGAATACCCGACAGATGGCCCTCTGTGCCACCAAATATCCTCCAGGAAGCCCCAGCCCATATAGTCAACCCAGTCCCGAGTACTTTTCTCCTATAACCCTTCTAGTGTTTAAAGGCTCCATGCAAGCCGGGCGCAGGGGTGCAGGCCTGCGATCTCAGCCACTCAGCAGGCTGACGCAGGATAGCAAGTTTGAGGCCAGCCTCAGCAACTCAGCAAGATAATATCTCAAAATAAATGAATAAATAAGTAAAAAGAATACCCTGCCTCAAAATAAAAAATACAGGTTGGGGATGTGGCTCAGTGGTTAAGAATCCCTGGTTTCAATCCCTGGCATCAAAGTAAATAAATAAATAAATAAATAAACCAAAAATGAAAATAAATTAAAAGGGCTAGGGATGTAATTAGATGGTGGAGTACATGTCTAGCATGCAGGAGGCCCTGGGTTCAACACCTAGTACCATGGGGAAAAAAAATAATAAGAAGAAGCAATGATAAGGGCAACATAGTTAAATTAGTATCCTGGTACATCATACTCAAAAAAATCAATTTGGGCCAGGCATGGTGGTGCACACCTGTAATCCCAGCAACTTGGGAGGCTGAGGTAGGAGGATCACAAGTCTGAGGTCAGTCTCAGCAATTCAGTGAGGCCCTAAGAAACTTAGTAGACTCCTGTCTGAAATTAAAAAATAAAAAGGGCTGGAGATGTAGCTCAGTGGTTAAGCCCTCCTGGATTAATTCCTGATAGTCCCCCGCAAAAAAAAAAAAAAAAAAAAAAATCCCAGCTTGGGCTGGGGATACAATTTAGCAGAGCACTTGCTAAGCATGTATGAGGCTCTAAGTTCAGTCCCCCACATACAAATCAATGTCATACACACAGAGGAAATGATTATTATATTATATAACATTTTTGTATTATATGTAAGATTCTTTAGCAAAATAATAAGTTGGTGCATCTTTGTCAGTTACAATAGGTAAGAATCAGGCCTCTGCTCTGTATCTCGACTGGGTGGTGGTGATGGCTCTGGGTTAGGGTGGAAAGCTTGCCTAGCCTGGGGAGGGCCCTGGGTTTGATAACCAGCCCTGAAAAAGAAGAGAAGAGAAGAAAAGAACTCATCCAGCTTCACAGTTACAATGGGTACATTTTATTGTGTACTAAGTGTAATTTAATAAAGTTGATTTAAAAAAAAAAACATGTCTGCCAGAAATACTGGAGGAAACGGGACAAAATGCAGTTGGAGGATGTCCTGGGATGAGAAGAAACGGGGGTCCTAGGTGCATGTCTGGGAAGCATCTCCCATCTGGCCCTTGGCACCTCTGGCCCTGCCTCCATGTTTTGGCCTTCGAACCCCAGACGCTCGATTCTGGGAAGGCCATTTTCTTGCAATTTGAAGTTGGTGAATCAAGCCCAACAGTTTACACTGTGATGGGGAAATGGAGGCCCAGAGGAGGGAAGGATTTGTTCAAGTCATCAGTAGCCAGAGGGGGAACTGACCCCTTAATAACCTGAACACCACAGGAGCAGCAGCACGCACACAGGAGCCCCCACAGCACTGTGCTAGGCTATTGCTCATGTCCCCTCCCACAGGGACAGCAGGCAGAAGAGAGCAGAGACTCGCAAGCACTCCCACACCCAGGCTCCCCACAGCTGCTCCTGGAACCCTGGAACCACCACCAAGTGAGCCCTGTCAGCCTGCAGGTGGAGAGGGGCCACATGAACCAGTCCACCTTAGTGGCCCACCTGTCAAGCCCAGAAAAGAGCAGCCTGGCCCAGCGCAGACAAGAAGCACCCCTGCTCAGCCTAACTGGAATCACTAACTTGCAACTGATCACTTAAATTGTTGGGAGCCATTAAATCTGGGGTGACTTGTTACACAGCAAAAACCAGCTGATAAAAGGGCTTGCCATGTGCCAAGTCTACTCTAACCTGTCCATGCACACTCTCCACCACAATCTCCACAATTCTTGAAAGGAACTCAGGGGCTGGGGATGTGGCTCAAGCGGTAGCACGCTCGCCTGGCATGCGTGCAGCCCAGGTTCGATCCTTAGCACAACATACAGACAAAGATGTTGTGTCTGCCCAAAACTAAAAAATAAATATTTAAAAAATTCTCTCTCTCTCTTGAAAGAAAGGAAGGAAGGAAGGAAGGAACGAACTCAGGTCATACACCCAGCCTTGGGGCTCAGAGCTCCCCACCCCAACAGCTCGCTCTCTTCCCTTCATGAAGGAAAAGTTACAACTGTCAGTAAGTTTCAGCTACTTCCCCCAAATCCTGTCCTGGTTGAACCCCAGCGCCCAACATGGGGGAGGCTCTTGAAAAATGTCTACTGAGACGCAGCGCAGCCAGCTTAGGCCAGCTCCAAGGACTCTGGGGCCTTCCTGCCACCCCCCCCCCCAGCCTTACCGCCCGGATCTCCCTCTCCAGCAGCTTGCCCGGGCAGGAGTAGGTGTTGTCGATGAAGGGGCAGGAGACCTCGGCCTCCTGGCAGTTGCGGATGGTGCCCTGCAGGCACTCCCTGGGGGGGAGGACAGCGTTAGGTCCTGCAACTGCCCACAGGGACTCCACCCTCCCATGGCTCAGCCTGACCCCAGAGCCCTAGCTGGGCTTCTCCTCAACACCAGACTTCATTCCATCCAGCTGCCCCGCTGTTCCCTGCTGCTCTGACCCAAGGAAATGAAAGCACACAGGCCCACCCACTGGCCCTGCGAGAGACGTGCGCCGCTGGGTGGGGGCGGGGCGCACCTGCAGAAGGTGTGCAGGCACTCGCGCAGCACCACCGCCTCGCCGGGCGCCAGCACCGAGTAGCACACGGGGCACTCGGCGGGCTCCGTGTTCAGCACCAGGCTTCGCTGCTCCAGCTGCACGTGCTGCAGGTAGTTCCCCTCCTGCTGCTGCTGCTTCCGCTGGGCACACGAGCAGGGCCACGGGGAGGGTCAGGGTCTTAGGGGTGGTGAGACCAGGGTGGGGGCAGGGTGAGGGAGAGGGGCGGGCCGGGCGAGCGTGGCCAGGCTGGGAAGCAGGTGGAACAGCGGTGGAAAGGACATGGCCGGGGGCTGAGGTCCTGCCAGGCAGCGGGGCGGGGCAGAGGCGCAGAGGGCACAGGTGGGGTCTGGTCAGTTAGGAAGGCGGGGCAAAGCCGGGAGCCAAGCAAGGCTACAGATGGGACTCCGAGTGGGGTGATGGCCAGGGTGGGGCAGGGGCTGTGCGGGTAGGGAGAGGGGAACCCGGGCAGGTAATCGGTGCTGTCACCACAGGGGGCTCCTGGAGGGCAGTCATTCCCCCAGGGAGAGTGAGGGGCCAGGGATGGGGTAGGTGGGGCCAAGGCCAGGGGAGTTGGGGCCAGAAGAGGACAAAGGTTGGGAGGAGTGAGTGTACAGGTGGATAGGGGTGAGGTCCCTGCTCAGGCCTCCTCAAGGTAACAGCACAGATGTTGAGGTCACAGCTGGGACACTTGCGAACATGGGGGGTTGTTAAAGTGCAGATGGAGACACAGCCCACACGGGACGGAGCACATGAAGAAACTGGATGTGCTCCACAGCAGGAAGCAGAGTCCCGGCCACAGGGTGACCTCAGAGACAGGCAGCGCACAGTCAAGTGAAGGGCCACAGCTAGCGGTGAAGTCAGGAGGGCAGGGCAGTAACGAGGGAGGAGCGGCAGGGGGCTCCCTTCCTGGCCTAGGCCTCCCGCGTCCAGTCGGCAGGAGTGGCAGGAGTCTGTCCCGGGACGGGCACGCCCACCTGCTGGTACTGGCGCAGCGCCTCTTCCTCGCTGGCCAGGCGCGCTCGCTCCTCCGCGTCTGGCTGGTAAGAGGTGGGAACCTGGTAGGTCTCTGGCCGCGCCTGGCAGCACATCTCGCAGCCAGGTCGCGTGGGCTTGTTGATGAAGGTGCAGCCAGGGCACTGCCAGCCCACCTGGGAGCAGAGAGCCATGAGCAGAGTGGCAGACCAGGAGGGGCAGGCAGGGCGCAGAGGACTGCCGCTTACCGGTGGGGGCTCGGGCACTGCATCTGGCTGCTGGCCAGGCTCCTGGGGGGCCCCGGACTTGGAAGGGTCTGGCTCCAGGGGACCCCTTGGCTGCAGCGTGAGATCCTTGAATCCCAGATCTGCAGAGGAGGAAGGCCGGCCGGATCCTTGCTATCCACTGTCCACACCCTGAGCCAGCCAGGCACCCCACCTTCAGCCTCTCTCCTCCCTGGACCTGTCTCCAGCCTTGTCCTGCCAGGTGGGCATTCTGGCTCCCCCAGGGATCAGATCCCTACCCCACCCACGATGCTCCAGACTCGGGCCTCCTGATGCACCCAAAGAGCTTCAGGGTCCCCTCTGAGGAGGCCTGAAAGAACACGCAGGGATCCATTTGTGAAGAAACCAGAGAAAAAGAAGGAATGGCGCCAGACTTCTCCAGTCAGCTCAGGGGAGTCAGGAACCAGGGAGAACCCCGCGAGGAGTGTTGGGATGGGAGTGCTTCTTTTGCCATGAAGGATATCTGTGGGGCTACTGGTGAAACCTGAGAGGGGCTGACTGTACTGCATCCATGCTGATTTCTGAATTGGAGAGCTGCACGTGGTAACACAAGAAAATGACCTTTTTATTTACAGAAATGACACTGAAGTATTTGGGGAAGGGGACATCATGTCTGACCCTTATTCTCAAATGGTTCAGAAATTAAAACCATTTTATATTTAGAAGAGAATGGTTAAAGCAAAGCAAATATGGTAAAGTGTTCATATTTGGGAAAACCAAGTGCGGTGGCGCACGCCTGTAATCCCAGCAACCCGGGTGGCTGAGACAGGAGGATTGCAAGTTCAAGACCAGCCTTAGCAATTTAGCAACTTAGGAAGACCCTGTCTCAAAAAGGGCTGGAGATGTGGCTCAGTGGTAAAGTGCTCCTGGTTCAATCCCTGGTACCAAAAAATAAAAAGAGTACTTTGGAACTTATGTAATTCTTTGTGCAATTCTATAACTTTTCTGCAGTTATGAAATACTGCAAAAATAAGAAATTTAGAATAAATACTAGTTATAATTATCACCATACCCCGTTACAGATTATAGAAACTAAAGATTCAGAGACAGGAACAAACCTGCCTGAGGTCACACAGCTCTGGTAAATGCCAGGGCCAAGGCGGAACTCCACCGTGCCCCACACCAGATGTTCTAAAGAGGGTTCCCTGTAGCACTCTCTGCCCACGTCTCTGTCCTCCTGGGAGTCCCTGACCCCCCATCCAGGCAGGCACTGTGCCCTGCTCGCTACGGCCTCAGGTGAGCCTGGCCCTGTGTGCACCCCACTGCCTGGGCCAGGGCCTCACCTTCCAGCATCCGCAGCTGCCGCTCCCGCTGCAGCTCCCGAGGGTTAAGCGAGGTGTTGCAGGCTGACAGCAGGTAGAGGTAGGCACTGTCCCCATTCCGCCGCACGCCATGGGAGTGTAGAGTCTCTTGGTCCCGTGCCAACCGCTGCCCAATTACCCACTGCTGCAGTGTGGGTGGGAAGCCATAGTCAAGGAATACCTGGCAGGGGCCGTGAGAGGGGAGGGAGGGAGGAGGGCGGAGGTGAGGAGAGGCGCGAGAAACAGGCCCTGCAGCGGCTCCCACCAGCCCCTCACTCACCATGTCCTTGAGGGAGGCCACGGTCATATCAGGGCGCACGGTGAGCCAGATGGTGACGGTGTGCATCTGGGCATCCTCCACGCTCACACACAGCCTGGAGGGGAGAGGGGGGCCACAGGTCCGCCATGGCCACCAGCTAGGACGTGTACACATTTGCTCCCATGTCCACTCACAAGACTCCCGTCTTGAGGAGACTGCCCTGGATTCCCAGGTCCCTCTGCTTCCTCCTCTATTAGGGCCACAGCCGAAGTCCCTCCACCAGCCCCAGGAAGCACTTAGCCTGAGCCACACTGGCAGCACGGGGGCTGCCCTCCCCACTTCTCCAGCCTCTTCCATCCCTTCTCCAGGCCTTTCAGCCAAACCTCCAACAGTGGTCATCTACCACGAGCAGAGGCCCAGTGCAAACTGACTCTTAATCCTCTCAAGGAGCTCACAGGTGGTACTGTTGTCTCTTTTCCACAGATAAACATGTTACAGTGACTATGCCAAAGTACACGGAATGACTGCCAGAGGCAGGATTTAAGGCCAAACACCATTATTTCAGTGCTTTTTTTTTCCCCTGTTGTTGGACATAATACCTTTATTTATTTATTTTTATGTGGTGCTGAGGATGGACCCAGCATCTCAGATGTGCTGGGCGAGCGCTCTACTGCTGAGCCAAACTCCAGTCCCTATTCCAGTGGTTTTGCTGTTGTCTGCAGTAGTGGGGACAGCACCCAGGGCCTCCCACATGATGGGCAAGCTCTCTCTCACTGAACCTCAGCCTGATATTATAAATACCAACTTTCTCAAGGATCCTCAAACACTTCTGGAAGACTAAAAATATGAAAAGGAAGAGCTAATAGGAAAAACCAGAACTGAACTCCAAAGGAAACAGAGATGATGTAAAGTGCAGAACAATCTGATGAGCACTCTCTGACTTGGGAACACATTACATCTGCAAAGCAAGGATAGCAAGAACGAATCAGAAGCCAGGTGCATGGCACACACCTGTAATCCCAGCCACTTGGAAGGCTGAGGCAGAAGGATCACAAGTTTGAGGCCAGTCTGGGCACTTTAGTGAGGCCCTAAGCAACCTAACGAGACCCTGCCTCAAAATGAAAAATAAATAAATAAAAAGCACTGGGGTGTAGCTCAGTAGAAAAGGGCCCCTGGGTTCAATCCCCAGTACCAAAACGAAACAATAAATCAACAACAAAAAGCTGGCAAAAAAAACCTGTATAGGCAGTTATCCAAAGAAAAGATGCAAATGACCAACAATCACATGACAAGATGCTCCACATCATTAGGTAACAAATGATTAGGGAACTACAAGTCAAAGCCACACTGGGATACTACTTCAAACTCACGAGGGTGCTATAATCAAACCACACGCTGCTGGCCAGAATGTGAAATGGTGCAGCCACTTGGAGAACCAGCCTGGCGGTTCCTCATTAGGGTTAATGTAGAGTTACCCTGTGACCCAGCAATGCCACTGGGAGGTAACCCCAAGAGAAATGAAAACAAGTCCACCTGGTCACACACGTTCACAGAAGAATTATTCATAACAGCCAGGAAGTATGAACAACCTGAATGGCCATCAACTGACTAAAGGCTAAAGACAAAGTGATTTGTCCACACAGTGGATTGTTGTTCAGCAATAAAAAGAAAAAAGTTCTGATATATATGGTAAACATGGATGAATCTAGAAAACATGTTAAGTGAAAGATGCCAGACCAAAAAACCACCTGTGGTAAGATTCCACATATATAAAATTTCCAGAATAGACAAATTCCTAGAGATAGATGGCCCTGGAAAGAAGGTGGAGAGGGACTGACTACTAATGTACAGATTTTCTTTTTCTTTTTTGGTACTGGGGAATTGGATCCAGAAATACTTCACCACTGAGCAACATCCCCAGCCCTTTTTATTTTTTATTTTTGACACAGGGTCTCACTAAGTTGCTTAGAGCTTCACTAAGTTGCTGAGGCTGGCCTCCCGGGTCACTAGGATTACAAGTGTGTGCCACCATGCCCAGCTGAGTATGGGTTTTCTTTATAGGATAATAAAATGTTCTAAAATCGACTGTGGGGATGACTGCACAACTCTGACACACTATTACCTTACTAGGCAGCAATAAAAAAGCTGTAAAAAAAGAATCAGAGTCATCAACATTTATTGAGTGATTACCCTTTGGTGTTTCAGCAGAGATTAAAACCTCTGGGGCAAAGACTGACAGCATCCATTCTCCCTTGCTTCCCTTGCTAAGAGAACCCTGCAGTCTAGCTGGATACCCAGCTGTATTTCACAGCCTCCCTGCAGACTGAGTGTGGCTATGAGAACAAGATTAGGAATGAAGCAGAAGTATGTGCAACTTCTTGTCTACGTTCTTAAGAGAAGTCTTCCCTTCTTCCTGATGTAATGGCTGGAGTGGAACAGTCATTTTGAACCATGAGATGAACTTCATGAATAATGACACAGAAGAAAGATGTGCCTCTGAGGACCATGAGCAGCAGAACCTCCAAATCTGAACTGGCTTTTTTTGTGCTACTGTTATTTTTCTTCTATTATATGAAGCCTGATATCCTAACATACCTCCTAACAAGCCTATCACTACTGTTATTGTTTCATTTTAAAAAATGAGAAAGCAAACTCTGAGAGGTAAAATAACCTGCCCCACATCTCAGTGACAAACTGGTGTTTGAATCCAGGGACACTCGGCCACTAAGCCACGTCCCCAGCCCTTTTTATATTTTATTTAAAGACAGGGTCTCGCTGAGTTGCTCAGGGCCTCGATAAGTTGCTGAGGTTGGCTCTGAACTCACAATCCTCCTGCCTACGCCTCCCGAGCCACTGGGATTACAGGTGAGCGCCACCGTGCCCAGCCAAGAATCATTCTCGAGGGTACAGTGGCACATGCCTGCAATCCAGAGGCTGAGGCAAATTAGAGCCACTCAGTGAGACCTTATCTCAAAATAAAAAACAAAAGGGCTGGGGATGTTGCTCAGTGGTTAAGCACCCCAGGTTCAATACTTGGTGCAAAAAAGAAAAGAAAAGAACATTTGATAGGCTGCCCATGAAGGTTCAGGAAGCCCAAGTCCCTGGCTAACCACGCAGGCCTCACCTGATGTCCTGTGTCAGGGAGACCTCGGGCTTCAGTTTCACACTCACGGGCACCCGTTGCTCTGCCAGCCAGATGGCACACTTCATAGCAGCCTGTTCATCCCCACCAGCCACTGCCCGGGCGAGACTTAGGGCCATCTCCTCTGCTATTGTCAGCAAAATAGAAGCAGGTTAGCACAGGTTTACATTTGGGGAGGTGGGGGGTGAAGGGGATGAGGGACAAGGTGACCCCGTGTGCACACACGCAGCTCCCTATCTTCCTGGTAAACTACTACATATCCTTCTCTACCCAGTTTAAAGTCCCTTTCTCTGGAAGAAAGTCCCTTCTCTGACACTCTCTACTCCTGCCAACTTAGGCTCATTTGGTTCCATTTTCCCTTCCTACTCAAGACTTCCCATACTTCCATTCATCTATTTGATGAGCATTTACTGAGCTCCTATTGTGTGTGACCCTCAGTCCCAGAAAATGGGTAAAATAAACAGGGCCCCTCCCCTCAAAGACCTGCCAGTCCAGAGGAGAGGGAGAAATAAACAAATTTAACAGGACAAAAAAAGAAATCAGATTGTGGTCCCTGTTGGCAAGAAATAAACAAGGTAAGGAGATCAGGGACGGTGCTGAGATCTGAGGAGGAGCAGCAAGGGGACGTGGAGGGTGAAGGGGGTGGTGTTCATGTGGAGAGGAGTAAGGGAAGGCGCAGCAGGATCAGAACAGAAGCCAGTGGGGCTCCACTACAGTCAGTAAGGGGGTGAGTGCAGGGAGACAGGGTGGGGGTCACCCAGGGCTCAGGAGTTGGTTCTAAGAACACACAGGCAAGGAAGGGTTTGCAGCGGGGCAGTGAAACGCCCAGGTTCTACAGTGTTGGGTGGCCTGGGCAGAAGAAGAGGCAAGGAATTCTGATAGGCCCACTGAGGTCCGTCTCCGCACCCACCCAGGTCTCATGTCAGTGTCCTCTGGTAGTGCCCGCCCACCTCCTATCGCAGCACAGAGCCGGCCCAGAATGCAAGGGAAGAAACTGAAGGGCAGGTGGGCAGAGAGAGGGCAGGCAAGGCTGGGACCCCTCCTCTCCCTCCCTCTGTGCCCACCTTTCTTGAACTTCTCGTCCATCTGGCTTGGCTGCGCCCATCCCCCAGAGGGGGGCTGTGGCTTCGTGGAAATGCTTCCTCCAGGCCACCTGGGAGAGAGCATGCGACCAGGAGCGACTCAGCCTCGGCCGGTGGCCTTGGGCGCCGGCCCAAGCCCCTTCCATGCTTTGGTGTCCCGGGCGGCAGCCGGGTAGCATCATACCACCCGGGGCCCGGGCCTGGCACAGGGAACTGGCCAGAACCCCACCCGGGACGGTGAAAGCGCAGGGGGCACCCAGCCAATGGGCGAAAGAGGAAACGGGGCCGGGGCGGGAAAGGAGGGAGAGGACGCCGGCGCCGCACGGCGGGGGCGCTCCAGGTCCCCGAGGGGCGCCCCGCTTCCCCTAGGAGCGCCCCTGTGGTCTGGGACTTCGGCCCTACCCCAGCGCTCCTGGAGGTGCCTGTCATTCGGAAGCAGGGGACCAGCTCGGCGGAAGAGAAAGTGAAAGTGGTGCCCCCGGAAGTGGGGCGGGGGGGGCCCGGAAAACTGTCTCCTCACCCGGGAACCCCCTCCCAGCACCAGCGGCAGGAGGCGCCGAGGCTGTCCCCGCGCCCCCGCCCCCGCGGGCCCGGCCGTCCCCAGCGCCCAGCCTCCCCGATCCAGGCGGACCCTCGTACTGACCGCAAAACCCCCGACCGGGGCTCACCCGAAGCGCCGTGCCGCCGCCGGGGGCGGGGCCTGGGGGTTGTGGGCGGGACCTGGATCGAAGGACTGGGGTCTGAGCGCAGCCGGAGCCGGTCTGGAGGGCGAGGCCGGGGCCTTCTGGGGGGCGGGACTGGAGCCTGACTGGAGGGCGGGGCCGGGGCATGTCTGGAGGGCGGGGCCGGGGCCTTCTGGGGGGCGGGACTGGAGCCTGACTGGAGGGCGGGGCCGGAGCATGTCTGGAGGGCGGGGCCGGGGCCTTCTGGAGGGCGGGGCCGGAGCCTGTCTGGAGGGCGGAGCCGGGCCTGAAGGGGTGAGGGCGGGGCCTGGGCCAAGAGGGGCGGGGCTTGAGAGACCCGGTCGTTTGACACCACTGCTGACAGCTTTGGAGAGCTCTAAGCGGGCTCCAGATTGTTTCTGACCTTGTCAAGGTCAGAGAGGAATCTGAATCCAAACCTGGTAGGTTCAGGAACCCACCCTCAACCAGACCGGAGGCTGCCTCTAGACTTTCACCCTCTACTTTTGCATTCGTTCATTGAGGAAGTTTGCATCCGCCTTACAAAAAAAGTCTGGGAGCCTGACGTACTCCAGGCTCCTGCCTCTTTAAAATTTTCTCCCACTTTTCATTCCACGGATCAGCAGATCCTGTGAGCTTCATCTGCAGAGTAGATTCAGAAACTCACCCCTCGCCTCCTCCATGCCCCATCCCGTGGCGCCTGCCTCAGTCTTCTGTCCTTTCCCGGTCGAGTCGGATTAGCGTCCTCTCCTGGCTCCTTGTTTCTTTTTCTGCCAGCCTCTCCCCGACCTGCAGGCACCTTCTGCCCAGGTACCAGAACATCCTGCTAAAATGTGTGTCAGATCCAAGTCAGCCCACTCAGATACTCCCAAAGAGCCAAAGTCCTCCCCAGCCTGCCAGCTGCCACCCACAACCTCTGCCTTTGTCTCTGACACCCTCACTTGGAATGGATCGCTGCACTCAAGCCTCACTGGCTTCAGGGTTCTGGAATAACTCAGCCTTTTGGAATCTGCTGCTTTAGAATTTTTCCATAGGAAGAGGTTTCTGGTGACAAATGTTCATACTTTTTCTTTGAAAAAAAAAAATTTTATTTAGGGCTGGGGTTGTGGCTCAGTGGTAGAGTGCTCACCTAGTATGCTTGACGCACTGAGTTCGATCCTCAGCACCACGTAAATGTAAAATAAAGATATTGTGCCCACTTAAAACTAAAATAAATAAATAAATTTTTAAAAAACTTTATTTAGATTTTAAAAATTAAATTTTTAAAAAACTTTTTTTTTCTTTTGCTACTGGGAAGTGAACCCAGGGGGTGCTTAATCACTGAGTCACATCCCCAGCCCTTTTTATTTTTTGTTGTTGTTTTGAGTCAGGGCCTGGTTGAGTTATTTCAGGGGCTCCCTAAATTGCTGAGGCTGGCCTGAACTTGCGATCTTCCTGCAGCAGCCTTCTAAATTGCTGAGATTACAGGCAAGTTGCTGAGATTACAGGCTTGCGGGCACCACCATGCCTGACTCCTAAACCTCCTTCTTGAATGAGTTTTTAGCTGGGTGTGGCTTTTTTTTCAGACTCTTGAAAAGGTACATTCCATTGTCTTTCCTGACTTCCACAAGGGCTGTTGACATTATCTGTGAGTCTGATAAATAACAGACCGATGAGGGTGGTGGGAACACAAAGTTAAGGGCCCCCTGCGCTGACCCCCACAGGCTTTCTTTTCCAAGAAGCGTTTCCCTGCAGCCTGCCTGGCTTAGGTGGACAGGCTCTGTCACATTCCTCAGCAAACTACCTGTTGTCTGCAGGAGAAATGCAGGCCCAAATAATGTTGATAAGAGGATCCAAATTACCCTGGGAGGGAGACTTTTGGAACCCTTTTCACAGACTGGATCCTGAAACTCAGGGAGATAAGCATAATTCCTCCTGATCATAAAACCTGTAAGAATGCATGGCTAAGAATCCAATTAGAACCTGTTGGTGTGGACTAAAGTGACCTAGAGTTGCCATGGCAGCGGGGACTTGAAAGTGTGATGTCATGCTGCTGTCAGTCAAAAGCCAAGAGGTGGATCTGGGCAAACTCTCTGGAATCTCCAAAAAACTGGAGAGCAGGAGAGGCTCCTTGTCCCTCTCTGTGTCCCCTTTCTATTTTCCTATCCCTTCAATAAGTTCAGGCCTGTTCCTCTGAGCAACATGTCTGAAGTCTTCCTGACTTGATTGCAGAACCGGGATTTGAAGGGGGACTTCGTGCTTCTTTGGTTTCCCGGAAGGCCCCAGTCCTGTAACATAACTGTTCTTCCTTTCACATCTTTATTGGGATACGGTTTATATACCATAACATTTGCACACTTATGTGTACACTTTAATGGGCTTTAGTACATCTACAAAGTCATTCACCCATTTCCACAATCTAATTTTAGAACATATTTATCACCCCAAAAGAAACCCTGAATTCATCAGCATACATGTCCACTTCCCCATCCTCCGCCCCCCATGTGCTTATATAATTTTGTCTCTATAGAAGTTACCTATTGTGGACTTTTTTTTTTTTCCAGTACCAGAGTTTGAACCCCAGAGCGCTCTACCCCTAGTTACATTTATTTTGAAGAAGGATCCTGCTAAATTGTCCATTTTACACCTTGGCTGGGGTCCACTGTTCCAAAGAGGGTCTGAAATGAGCTTTCAGTCCCCAAAGAGTCAGGATTTCTCTAAATACAGGGGTTCTCCAACTTGGATGCTCAGTAGCATCACCCTGTGAATTGGTTAAGATGCAAAACCCCCAGATGTTCTGATTCGGGAGGTCTGGGGAAGGTTCAAGACTCTGTATTTAAACAAACACCCTGGGAATAGATGCTCCAACCAATGGCATTTAAGAAATTCTGTTCTGGGCCAGGGGAGGTGCCACACATCTGAAATCCCAGATACTTGTGAAGCAGACCAGAGACCCCCACCCAGAGGACCCTTACCATAACAAAGCAGAAACCCCCACCATATTTGTAACATATATGTTCCTCTTCTTGTCAGAATATCAGCAAAAATTTTGACAAAAAATTCAGTGTTGGGGCTGGATTTATGGCTCAGTGGTAGAGCACCTGCCTAGTATGTGTGAGGCACTGGGTTCCATCCTCAGCACCACATAAAAATAAATAAATAAAGTAAAACTATGGTGTCAATCTACAACTAAAA